TTCTTCCGAGGCGAGTACCACCCCACATCCGGTTAGCAGCCCATCGCTTCTCACTCCAAACCCTGCGGAGCACAGTTCTACTCTGACACACACATGAGCCATCAGGAGTTGGGATCGACTCCACCGCACTTGGTTAGATTCCATGTGTTTTTCAAGGCGAGCACTGAGCCCCTTCATTACTGTGCAGCCCCTTGCTGGGAAGTTGCATCCCCACTCGAGATATGGAAACAGAGTCTACATGTTAACGAGACAGATAAGGACTGACACTGAAGAGGAGCCCTGGTGATGTCGTGGTTAAGGGGTGGGCCGGTTACTGCCAGACCAACAATTCAAAAGCACCAGCCGTGCTGCGAGAGAAAGACCAGGCTTTCTACTCCTATAAAGAGTGACAGTCTTGGAAACCCTTAGGGGTGGTTCTACCCTGTTGGTAGGGTCTGTGGGCCGGAATTGGCTCGGTGGCAAGGACATGGGTGGACACCGTGGCTGCGACCACGGGCCCAGACATAAGAACCATTGTGAGGTTGGCACAGGAGCTGGTGGCATCTCATTCTGTTGTACGGAGGGAGCGCTATGAATTGAACCAAGTGGAGGGCACCTGACAACAACTTCAGGATCTATAGAAGCCCTCGTGGTGCACCGGGCTAAGTGTCGGGCTGCTAACTGCAAGGGCATAGGTTCAAATCCACCAGCTGCTCCTCAAGAGAAAGATGACGCTGTCTGGTCCCGTAATGATTTGCAGCCTTGGAAACCCTTAGTCAGGAGCAATCAGAACGGACTGGGCCGTGGTGAGTTTGCTTTGGTTTTATAAGACTCTGGAAGGATCACCTGGGGAGCCTGGTTAAATGTAGACTCGAATCCAGCCTCTCTGGGCTGGAAAGGCAAGTTCTCAGTGGCCATGTCGGCTCAGGATGAGCCATCAGAGCCCTGGTTTTATAGGCGATACGAGTCCCGCAGAAAGCAGGCGACCAACTCCGCCAAGGCCCCTCACCTTTCGCCGGCAGAGCGTTCTAACAGGCCTCGGTGTTGTTGGGGAGTTCAATTGAGGACTTTTCATTCTCAGGGGCTTCATTGAAAACATCTGGAGAACAGACGCTCATTACTTGGTCACGGGACTTTTGCAAGGCATCCCGACCAACAAATACGCTCCACCCCACACGGAATTCTCCCGTCACTCCTGTTACCCAGCTTTCAATCCCACTAATTAGTGATTTGTTTGGGTTAACAGGCTTCTGATTTAAAACGCAGATACTCATGGGACTAGTTATCGTCAACACAGGCGGAGAAAGCCCCCAGGGGCCTGTTTTCCACGCCTCCGGGACTACAATTCTGGATTCTTGCTGGTCCCCAGACTATCGGCTAAATTGACAGAAACCTCTCGGCTAGAGAGCGTGCAAGTGATTCATGTGCTCAGCTGCTGATGGGAAGGTTGGAAGTTTGAACCTCCCCCCACCAAGCCAAGCCCTGCCATCGAGTAGCGCCCACTCACTGAGACCCTACAGGGAAGCCTGCAGCTGCCCCGGTGGGGACCAGAGAACCTCACCTCTCTCCCACAGAGCGGCTGGTGGACTTGAACAGCCAATTGTGTGGTGAGTACCCTATTGCTTAAACCATCAGGTCTCCTTCAAGACACACACACACACACCCCGCGCCCCCACCCCCCACCCCCCTGTCTAATTGAGTCCCGCTCATCATGACCTTCACAGGATTTCTGAGGTTGTAGATCTTTAGAGGAGCATAAAGGCTGTAAATCTCCAGAGTAAATCTTTACATAGGGGCCTGGAGAGCTCAGAAAGGGGAGACATTGACATCATGCCATGCACTCCTCTTGGGGAGTCCTGGTCGCCCCACAGGGGAGCGCTGGGCTGCTAACCAACAGGTCCGATGCCCCCAGCAGCTCCTGGCAAGGCCATGATCATGCACTTCATGTGGGGGCGCCGGTGAGAGCAGGGTCCGTGGGGCACAAGCATGGGATGCCTCAGCTGCAGGATCATTGCTTCCTGAAAGCGTTTGGGTTGGTTCTGGAAGGATCATTGCTTCCTGAAAGCGTTTGGGTTGGTTCTGGAAGGATCATTGCCTTCCTGAAAGCGTTTGGGTTGGTTCTGGAAGGATCATTGCTTCCCGGAAAGCATTTGGGTTGGTTCTGGAAGGATCATTGCTTCCCGGAAAGCATTTGGGTTGGTTCTGGAAGGATCATTGCCTTCCTGAAAACGTTTGGGTTGGTTCTGGAAGGATCATTGCTTCCCTGGAAGCGTTTGGGTTGGTTCTGGAAGGATCATTGCCTTCCTGAAAGCATTTGGGTTTGGTTCTGGAAGGATCATTGCTTCCCGGAAAGCGTTTGGGTTGGTTCTGGAAGGGCTTCCTCCTGGGTGGCTATCACCTTCCCTTCTTGGGAAGGAGGGGTGTCTAGCAGGTCAGGCCAATTCCTGCAGTCAACTGCAGAACATACAGGCAGACTTCATTTTACTGCACTCCGGCGACTTAGGACGTTTTGCGGGTCCTGTGCTTCAGTTTGTTATCATAATTGTTGAGCAGATGGGAGGTTTGTGGTGACCCTGCAGTGAGCGATTCCATCAGCCCCGTTTTCCCAACCTCTGGGCTCGCTGTGTCTCCGTGGCCCAGTTGGGTCATTCTCATGCCAGCTCAAACATCCCAATCATGCTACCGCACGTGTCACAGGCGACAGACTTGTGTCAACAGAACCGGTCTGTGCACCGGGGGAAAAATACTGCCATTGAGCTGAGGCTGACTCATAGGCCAGGGTAGAACTGCCCCGGGGAGTTCCTGAGACTGTAACTCTGGATGGGAGTAGAAAGCGTTGTCTTTCTCCCGAGGAACAGCTGTTAGTTTTGAACTGTGGATTTTGCAGTTAGCAGCCCAACATATAAGCACGATACCACCAGGGCTCCCCGGCTGTGTGCTGCAAAACCATAAACAAAGGAAAGTGTGCAGCTCGCTTTACTGAGCTAGTCCACCTCTGGAGGAGGTTCTGGAGCCCAGCCACAAGCAACAGCGCCGAGGGAAGCCTGCACTCACTGGGAGGCCGAGGAGTCTGGCTGCATCACAGAGAGCTATGTGTTCACCCTGAGCTGAACCCTGCAGTTCCCACACTGCACAGCTGGACCACTCACCTCTTCCCAGTCCCACCCCACCCCGGGGCACCTGGGTCTCTCCAAGCTGGGGTGTGTGCATCTGGGCGGGGGCAGCTCTCCTGAGACCCAACCGCTGACCCTTGAGTGTGGGTCGCAACAGTTGTTTTCAGTTTTCCGGAGCGATTGTTGGAATGCGGCAAAGACCATCAGGTCTCCAGCGAGGGGGTGTCGATCTGTCTGTATGTGGGCCTGGCATGGCACACGTGTTTCCTATGACACTGGCGCGTCCACGTGACCTCTGCCTGACACGGGAGCAGGAGGAGCCTGTCTGGCAGCTTCCTGCAGGCTTCGCTGTGTACCAGGGACTTGCTTTGCAGCTGGAAGGAGAATCCGGGGACCGTGATGATGACCACAAGGCGATGCAAACCCCGGCTTGGCGGACAGAGGAATGAAGCGGGTACTTGGCAATAGAAAGGGGTGGCCACATAAAGCAAGCCAGACAGAGGGTGGGGGATGGGGGAGGAGGGGTTTACACGAAGCAGCACCCAAACCGAGCAGAATGGATTCTCAAATCTGTGCCTGCGATGGGGTGGCATCTCCCGGCAGGGACCCGTCCCTGGAGTGTGGCGGTGGTTGAGAGGGGACACCAACTGTATTTGTCGTCTTCTCATGTCAGGTCGCAGCACGCTCCTGTGCGTTTGCTTTCTGCCGTGCCGGCGGTGTTGGCGCAGCAGGCCCTGCGGGAGTTGCCCCCGTACTCGTGCCCACTCTCTGCTCAACAGAACGAAGCACGGGCCTGTTCCTGTGCCATCCCCAGGGTCCATGATGGCATGGGTCATCGTGACCCACAAGGTTTTTTCCCTCCGGCCGATTTTCAGAAATAGATTACCAGGCCTTTCTTCCTAAGCCAGCGGTTCTCAACCTATGGGTCACGACCCCTTTGGGGAGTCAAAGGACCCTTTCACAGGGGTACCCCGATACACAACAGTAGCAAAATTACAGTTATGAAGTAGCAATGAAAATAATTGTATGGGGGGGGGGCACCACAACATGAACTGTATGAAAGGGTGGCGGCATGAGGAAGGTTGAGAACCGCCGTCCTGGGCTGTCTCAGTCTGTCAACCCAAACCAAACCAAACTCACTGCCATCGAGTTGATTCTGACTCATCGAGACCCGGTAGGGCACCGGCCCTGTGGGTTTCTGAGACTGTAACTCTTCACAGGAGTAGAAAGCCTCGTCTTTCTCCCTCAGAGTGGCTGGTGGTTTTGAACTGCTGAAACCTGTGCTGCATCCCAGCGAGCATGCAAGCCTCTGCTGACAGACAACTGCTGGCTGTGTTTGAGGAGCCTCGGCCGGGCATTGAACCCAGGTCTGGAAGGGAAGCAGTCTCCCCATGAGCCGCCACCGCAGTGGGATGACTGTGATACTGGGCTGGATCCGTTGTCTCTTCCTGTACCTAAGCTCTTTGCCAGCAGGCCTGGTGTAAGGATGGGAACTGAACTGAGCGTTGAAGCGTAAGAGCTGTGTGAGGATCCCGGGTTTATGATCCGATGCATGGAAACTATTGACACCAAGTAATCTAACACCAAAGGAAGTTTGCAGAGAACACAAGGGAAGTTCAGGAAGTGTTCAGAACTCTGTTGCACCCTAAACAGATCAAGAAATCAAACCGGATCACCATGGCCATTCACTGCCACAAGTTATTTTTTTTTAAGAAAATAAGTAGAAATCCAATCTTGGCCACAGAATGCAGGTCCACATCTGTACAGAAAAGCTACCACGATTTAAAAAAATACTTTTGGGGTGAGTGGTTACCTGTTGGGCTGCTAACCACAAGGCCAGCGGTTCAAAACCACCAGCTTCTCTGAGGGAGAACGATGAGGCTGGCTTTCGACTCCCACAGAGTTGCTGTCTCAGAAAACCGTGGGGCCGGTTCTACCCTATCCTACCCGGTCGGTCTCTGGGTCTGAGTGGACTTGATGGCAGTGAGTTTGGTTTGCTTTGGCTTTGAGGGGGTGGCGCTAAAAAGCAGCCTCAGAGCAGCACGGGTATGGTAAGTAGGCTCTCATTAACACGTTCCCCCACCCCACCCCATTGCTTCTGGTCGGGCAGGGGCCACCTCAACCTCCACCTGTCCACATGGCTCATCTACCACGAGGAGGACCTCCCAGAGCTGGAATTTGACCCCCATGTTGGGCTCCTTCTTTCATGAGGAGTCTAACGCCACCCCCGAGAGCCCTCCCTGGTGGCGTGGTGGTTATGTGCTGGGCTCTAACTGCAAGGTCAGCATTTCCAAGTCACGGCTGCTTTTTAGGAGAAAGACGGGGCTCCACTCCCATCGAGGTACAGTCTGGGAGACTCACAAGGGCAGTTCTACCCTGTCCGACTGGGTTGCCATGCGTCAGAATCCACCCAATGGCGCTGAGTTTGGCTTTTGCTCTGTTTTTAGTAACAGCAACAAGGAGCATGTATGTCACAGGAAGCTAGTGGGGGGTGGGGAGCGTGAGGAGCTGTAGGAGTTAGACTGCTCACCAAAGGGTTGGCAGTCCTGACCCACCAGGGGAGCCCACAAGAACAGCCCCCAACCCACCCACCATGGATTCCAACTCATAGAGACTAGGACCATGTAGAGCTAGCTGCCCCTGTGGGTTTCTGAAACAGTCTGCAATCAGAGGCGGGACAGCTGGCCAGCGACCTGCTTCTGTAAAGACTGTGGGTAGGTGCGATGGAGTCGGTGCCGACTTACAGCAACCTGGTGTACAAAGGGACAAACTATTGCCTGGTCCTGTGCCCCAGATTCGACAACAGCAGCAATAACAGGGCCAAGTCGAATTCCCCGTTATCAATAGGCAACTGCGTCCCCACCTTCCCAACCCTCAACATCGCACTGCGACCAACGCCCTGCGGCTGACCGCTCTGGCCAGCAGGAGGCAGCAATGGGGCGGAGTGAGCGGTGGTCGTCCGGCCAAGCAGGGGGCGCACGTGGACTTTGTTCCCGGGCACTCACCGCGGCCCACCACCACGAGTGGGGGATGCTGGTGAAGTTGGTGCCCGGCACGTCGTGTTCCACGGAGTAGACGGCGGCCGAGAAGGTGAAGATGCCCATGGTGATGAAGAGCACCAGGCAGCCCACCTGCTGGTAGCACTGGCGCAGGGTGAAGCCGAAGGCGCGCAGGCCTGTGGAGTGGCGCGCCAGCTTGAGGATGCGAAAGATGCGCATCAGGCGCATGATGCGCAGCACCTGGCCCACCTTACCCACGCGGCCCACTGTCTCCAGGTCGTGCTCCCGCGCCGCGCCCTGGCCCTCCTCGCCCGCGATGCCCTCGAGCAGCAGCTGCAGGTAGAAGGGCAGGACAGCCACCAGGTCGACCAGGTTGAGGGCGCCGCGCGCGAAGGCGCGCAGGTCGGGCGTGGAGAGCAGGCGCAGCAGGTACTCGAGCGTGAAGAAGGCCATGCACAGCAGCTCCACGTGCTCCAGCAGTGGCCGTGCCTCGCCGCCCCCCTCCGCCGGGCGCATCTCCTCCACGGAGTTCAGCGCCAGTGCCACCACGGAGACCAGCACGAAGAGGCTGGAGGCGACGCCGACGGCCTTGGCGGCCACCGACGAGAAAGGCTTCTCCAGCAGGTTCCAGAGGCGGCGGCGCAGCGGGCCGCAGAAACGCACGTGGTGGCAGGGCTCCTCGGCCGCCTCGGCGTGCGCCTGGGCGCGCAGCTCGCGCTGGATCTTCAGCTGTTCCGCGAGCTCGTCCCGTCGCTCCTCGAAGCAGATTCGGCAGCAGCGCGGCGTGTACTTGAGCCGCACGCCCCAGTAGCCCAGCTCCTCCAGGAAGCTGCGGGGACACAGCTCGTCGCGCACCAGGAGCAGCCCGGACGCGTAGAAGTTGGACACGAGCTGGAAGACGGCTGGGTCCCGGTCAAAGAAGTACTCATCAGTGCCCGCCTCGTAGTCATCACACAGGCCCAGCTGACGGCTGCGGCTGAGCGAGGTGACCAGGCGGCCCAGGCGCGTCTTGGGGTAGCAGGTTAGCTCGCTCACGTCCAGCTGGTAGCTGTGGCCGCCCACGTTCACCTTCAGGGTGGCGGGCAGGGAGGGTGCATCGGTCTGGCCGCTGGCCTGGGCACTGCCGGCCTCTGGGGCCAGCTTGTCCTTCCAGGGGCCACCCTCCTCACCGTCATCTTCCTTGTCATCTTCCTCCTCGATGTAGTAGTTGTAGTTGCCCTCGGTCCATGTGGGGATGCTGCCCTGGGAGCCCAAGCGCCCGCCCACCGAACAGATGCTCCTGCGGGGCTGCCTGTCCCCAGCCTGGGGTGCGTCCTCGCCCTCTGGAGGATTCCAGGTCCTGTGGCCCCAAGACCGCCTCCTCTCGCTCTGTTTCAGCATGGCCTCTCCTGTCGCCCCTCCTCCGGTCTGGACACACACACAACCCTGCTGACGGTTAAACTTGCTGAGAAGGAAGAAGGAAGTATTAGCCAGGATTAGGCGCACCTTAGCCTCTTTCCTCCCCTCTGACGGCCAGTATGACACTGTGGTCTGCAATCTGCAGGTCGTTGGAGGGCATCGGAGATTATTGCTAATAAAGACGTGGCCCTGCCCTTAGGAAGGAGACACAGGGGGCCTGGGTTTCCCGTTTGGAGCAGTGCTTCCCAAAGTGGGCCCTACTGCTCCCCTGGGGGAGGCGATGGGGTGATCAAGGGGGCTGGGGTGTTCTAAAGCACATACTTTACCCCGCATGAGGGGCGAGAGGACAAAAGTTTTCATTTGTTGCCAGGGGTGGAGGGTAAGGGGGTCTGGGGGGATATGTACTTTTTTTTGTAGTCTTGCAAAGGGGATGGTAGACCAAATAAGCTTGGGACCTTGTAGGTAACCTCTGTCCTAACCCAAACCAAACCTCACCAGTTGCCAACAGTCCCTGCAGACGGAAGGCAACGCCACAGGGTTTTCATGGCTGTGACCTGGTGGAAGCAGACAGCCACGTGTTTGTTCTGAGTGGCTCCTGGGAAGGCTCACCCACTGACCTTTCAGGTAGAAGCCAGATGCTACCTGCTAACCACCACCACCACCACCCCCATGCGCCTGCGTAGAGTTTAGGCTGCATAGGGTTTTCAGCCCTGGTGACGTCGTGGGTTAGAAGTTGGGCAGTAACTGCAAGGTCAGCAGTTTGAAACCACCAGCTGCTCCACAGGAGAAAGTGGAGACTTTCTACTCCCATAAAGGAGCCCTGATGGTGTGGTGGTTTTGCGTTGGGCTGCTAAGCACAAGGCTAGCAGTTTGAAACCACCAGCTGCTCCTCCCTCGGGTCAAAGTGGAGGCTTTCTACCCCCATGAAGAGTGACGGGGTCAGAAACCCACAGGGGCAGTTCTACCCTGTCCTGTAGGGTCACTGTGAGTTGGAATCGGCTCATGGCAGGGAGTTGGGTGTTAGACTTTTGGCGGCTCGGGGACTAACTCACCAGGCTTGTCATTAACAAGGACAATAAGCAGAGCCTGGGTGGCATCATGGGTACACGTTGGGCCGATAGCTACAAGGTCAAGAGTTCAAAACCATTGGCCACTCCACTAGAGAACGATGAGGTTTTCTGCTCCCGTAAAGTGACAGTCTCAGAAATCCACAGGGTCAGCCCCCAACCACCCGGTCCTGTAGACAGGGTTGCTATGAGTTGGCATCGACACGATGCCAGAGACTGAAGCATGACTGGAGGTGCCCTGGTGACTTGGTGGGTTAGCGGAGAAGAGGAAGGCTCAGCACCGTTTCATTCTGTCGTGTATGGGGTCTCCAGGGGACCATGCTGGCACTGGGGTCACCAGTAACGACGTCTTGGAAGAGAGAGGAGAAAGAAGACTGAAGAGCGAGAACGTGGCCCTGGGGGGTACATGGAAGTTGATTTTCCCATCGGGCCTTTGTAGCCCCTCCCTCCGTAATGGAACAAGCCTGTCATTTAAGGCTCGGGCTCGGGCGAGCTTCTGGGTCATTGACAGCCCGGCCCAGACAAAGTCATGAGAAAGAACCTTATCGCCCCCAGCCTCCAACACACAGAAGAGGAGGCTGCCTGCAGTGCGCAGATCCCCTCCAAGTCTGGGGAGTTGCCCCCGCCCCCTGCCATCGGTGTGCCTATCTAGCTGTCACATGAGACCCAGAATGGATGGGGGCAGTGACTGACAGCAAAATGCCATAGTCTGTTAGGTCTTGCACCGATCACATGAGAGTCGTCTGTGCGA